GTCTTAAAGTTGCCAAGGTTGAGGAACACTGTCCTAGGGAGAAAAAGAGAGGAATCGTCACCTGAGCCAGATTTTGAAGAAGATATGGCAGTGCCAGACTCGCTTCTCAACCAGAGAAGATCTAATGTGCATTTGAGGGACTTAGACTTTGCCTGGCCTGTAAACATCCTGCATGTAGAAGGATAGCATCTCAGAGTCTCCTCCATGGACTGGACCAGCATGGCATCACGGCCCCCAAAGGGAGTCCTGGCATGTGCCTCTTCCCAACCCAGTGAGATCTGGGGCGTAAACGCATCACCGCTTGGAGGATTGCCACAGCCTGAATGAACCTACTTAGCTCTGAGCAAACTTCTGCAAGATGCAAAATCAGCTGGGGAAGGAGACGACTTCTCAAGAGGCCAGAGACGGCGGTGGGGAGAAACTGCCCCTGTTTGTCTTTTGATAAGGGTTGTTTCATGAGTGGCCAGAGAGACCCCTGTAATGGGATCCATTTTGGCAGAGCAAGCACAATATGTGCACAGGTATCCCTATGGGCCCACAGGACTGCCCAGCACAGCTTTTTTCACAAGATGATTAAAAATCTGTAACTAATTCACACGTGCAATAGCCTGTCTTTATTGCAAGCTCATTAGCCATTGACCATAACCTTGTAGAGAGCAACACTCATAAAAAAAACAGGCTGAGCTTTGATCATACCATCATGGCTGCCATCTTGACGTTTTTGACCATAATCTGCTACTACTCCTGGAAGGAGATACCAACACCCCACAGACAGATCCTCACTGCTCAGCATCCTGTACTTTGCGTTTGGTGTCCAGGATCCTCCCAAAGACAGACTTTGCAGCAGATCTGAACACATACTGTATATTCTTCTATAACCTGTCAAGCAAAGACACCAAGGACTTGCTTTCTTGGGAATATCATGCCAGCATAAACTGCAGAGGGCCGTGAAAATCCGTTCTTCCGTGCAGAAAATTCAGAGTCGCCCTACGGTGCGTTTGTATGGCTTGCTTATCTGCAAGCTTGTAAAAAGCCAGCATGGTGTCATTGGTGCTGATGCTGGACTAGGAACAGGGAGACCCAGATTTTGCTCCCAGTCAGCCACTGAGGCCCACGGGGTGACTTTGGGCCAGTCCCGCCTCTCATCCCAAATCGGCGTCAGGCCCTGCAACAAGCTGGCTGATAAACGAAACCCTGTTTGCATGACGCATTCGTAGCTTCATGCGAAGCACCAGGTGAGTGGAAAAGACAAGCGTGCCCCACAAACATGCAGGACAAATGCTGAGGAAAGCCACATTTTTCCCGCAAGCATGAATGGAACCACGGTTTATTCAATCCAGTTTTCTGGATCTGCGGAATACACTGAACAACAGGTTAAGTGGGTGGGTCTGCTTTGCACAACGCACAGGGCTAAACTGCAGGTGAATAGCTTATGGTTCACAATACAGTGTCGTGCAAACCTGGTCACAGATTCTCATGCAAATCTACCAGCAAAAATACGACGTTGGAGCCATTCATTTCATGATCCCTATCACTACTACTCTCAGACTCTTACTACTCTTTCTGTCTTGATTAACATAAACCACTGCCGAAACCTGTGAAACTTTTATTTTGTATTTATTCTGTAAAAGATCCACCGAGCACAATTAGAGACGGTATTATATTTCGATTGTTTGCAGAAGTTCAGGTCTGCTCCCCCATTCAAGCTGTGGCACTGAGTGGCATTACACGACGGTACCACTCAGTTGAGCTCATATTTCACTTTGCTTGGGTATTGCAGAAAAAAGGAGAGAATCCCTTTCTGAGGGTGTGTTTCTGAGTTTGGGATTCTCGTACCCTCAAATACAGCCTGTATGTTTATTTTCCTTCTGCTGCATTGGGGAGGGCAAGAAATGCAGCAGAAGGACAATCCCAGTTAATCAAAACAAGTGACTCAAAGCCAGAGTCCAGATTGAAGGGATGATTACAAATGTTATCGTACGGGAAGATTAGGCAAGAGATGGAAACGCCGAGTCAATGGCCACGTCATTCAGAATTTACATTTCAAAGTCCTTTGGCTGGTTTAAAGTCCTGAGTTGAGCAATTCAACCATCTGCCATGGCGCTGGATCTGAAGATGTGCCACATCTGGCTGAAAATAGACATCTTAGTATTTTAGCAAGGAGCACCTGAAGAAAATGCTCAAAAGGGAGAATGCCTCAACTCTGTCAAATTCAACTCATTCAACTGGCATGTATATGATATGGCTGCCGTATAGGTTTAATCAATCAATAAATGTAAAAAGGCATGCTAAGTATGGTGTGTATGTACGTGTGTGCATGTGCGTGTGTAGTGTCAAAGCCACTGTCCTGGATGAAACCCGGAGCATCCAGGAGCACATCAGTAAGATGGTACCAAAGATGAGCTGCTGAGAGAAGGCCTCAGGCAGCAGCAGACAAGGCAGGAGGTTCAAGCAGAGGAAGCGCCATGGCAAGAGAAGCCCCTGCATGGGATGTACCATAGGAAGATAGC